AAATAAATAAATCTTAAAAAAAAAAACAAAACAAAAAAAAACAAAACTTGTGAGCACACTAGAATTTACCTGGACACTCACAGGTGACACTTAGAAGGGGCTACATGTTTTTTTTCCCCTTGATATTTGCTGGTATCACTTTTGACTCCCTGCTAAGGAATAAAACTCCCAGTATCATCTTTTCAATTATTTTTAAACATGACTTAAAGCTTTTCATTTCTTTCTTTAGAAGACTTGATCAAAGTTATCTATACCACCTGCAGCAGTGTAGTGAAAATGGAGTGGGTCAGGCTTTTCTTGCCTTCCTGCTGCCAGTGCAGATGCATGGGGCTGATGGGTGTAGGCACAGGGCACATAGACCTGTGACTGTGGACACCTGGGCCCAGAGAGCACAGGTGTGCGTATGTGTAAATGTTTACACCTGTGCCTAGAGGCGGGGGATGGGCTGCCGCACGGTGAGGCGGCACTCCAAGGCAGACTGCAAGGCAACATGAGAGAGAGAACACCACTGAGGCCAGAGAAAGAGGGCAACGATTCACGGGGGTTTGGGGGCTCGGTTGTCTGCCTGCCTCCCAGTCGCCCTGCCCTGCCCAAGCCTTCCTCCTCATGCGCCAGCCCCCTGCCTGGTGTGTCTCTGTACCTGGTTCCTTGAGAGCCCATTCAAGGCCTGTTAAATCTAGTGAGAGCAGCAGGACTCTCTTTATCTGTCTGCCTGATTTGACAATGAACCTGCCCTGTCGTGCTTCCTCTAGAGTAATATTCTGACTTGGTTCTTTTCTGTGGTTTCTTTGTCTTATATTTTATCGATGGTACTATTTTTCTATGTCCCTTAGAATATTTATTGTGCTTATTAATTTTTTTTGGCTTGCTTCTCCCAACTCTATTGCATATAATATATAGTTTCCAGTCTATTGTATTTCTGTTGTGGCAATCACACTCCTTAGTTCTGTATTTATTCTGGCATGTGTGCTCACAGACCTTGTGTATTTCCAGCTCCTCGTCACTATCTGGAACTGTGCTCCAGAGAAGGACTGATGAGTCCAAGGAGGATGGAAGGTGATCTCAGAGCTGAAGACTCCAGGTCCAGTCCTAACTTCTCCTCCATACAGGTGCCTACAAGGCCCACCCGATAGTTGGAGCTTCAAATTTCAAGTCTTAGAAGGAATCACAACAGATAAAACAATGCTCTTGCCTCTGGGAATTGAAGCAGGTTCAAAAGTGTCTGGAAGGGCCTATAAAACTGTTGGCATGCCCACCCTGCTTTATACTGGCATTGAGAAAGAGTAGGCAGTATTTATCACAAGGATGTGTGGCAGGAAAAGGAGAGTAGAACCTGTCAGGCGTTCTTTCCATCCACCTTTTCAAAGCCTTGTCCTCTGCTCCAGCTGCAATCGACTTCAAGATAGCTTGAGTTTCTCCAGGTTTTCCTCATAGATTTTGGTTTCTAAAATCAATGTTTTTCTTCTTACCTCCTGAGGAAGCCAGGGTTGATTTTGGAAGGGGGAGCTCCTGATGGCAGATCTGGACCCCAACCCCAGATGCATAGCCTGCAGATTGCTCTGCACCCTCACCTCAGTCTTGTTCTTTGTCATCCTTGTTCCAGAGAGAATGCTGGCCACACTTGTGGCAGCTCAACCCAAATCTCTCAAAGGTAGTCTGAGAGAGGAAGTCAGCAGGACCTGAGCACTGGGGAAAAGCCTGGCCTAGAGAGAAGCACAGGGGCTTCTGAGCTTTCTCAAGGTCACTGTTTATGTGACCTCAGGCAAGTTACTTAACCAAGCTAAGCTTCAGATCCAGATCAAAAAAAAAAAAAAAAAAAAAATCAAACCAGGGGCCCTCCCTGGTGGCGCAGCAGGTTAAAGCACTGCACTAAGAAGCTTAAGCCACTTCCACATGAGTTCAATCCCCACCTGCCTGGGAGGAGATCCACATGGCGAGGCAGATCTCTCCTGACCCGCCCACTGCTCCCCTCAGCAGTGTGCTTCCTCGATCTGCCTGTTCTGCTCCCCACTCTGTCTCTGGTGAATCCTCTCACCCTCCACATCTCTGGCCTGTACCCCAGTTCTAAGCTCCAGATGATCATCCCAGTTCTTGTTATTGCTGCCCCTTCCCACCCAAATGCAGGGAAGAGGAGACCTGCTTATATGACTAATACAAACACTGGTGCATGAGCAGGGGGCTCTGAGACCAGAAACTGGAACAGCAAGTGGCTTAGATGGATTTTATTCTGTGAAGTCTGGAGCAGGCCTCCACCACACAGGAGAGCTTGGAGGTGGACAGATTCCAGGAGGGTGTAGCGCCCACTGGCACAGAGACACACAACTGGAGGGCCAGGAGGCGCACCAGAGGTCTGTCACAGAGCACAGAGGGAAACCAGCAGGAAGATGAAGGTCTGCAGACACACCAGGGATGTGCAGGTGCTGGGTTCATGGACAGTGCCCCGGGAAACAAGAAAGTCATTCAAAACAGGAGGCTTCCCCTGTGGAGGAGCAAGGTCCGGAGTGGGGTTGGGTGAGCCTTTCTGCGTCTCCCTGATCCAGTCCGTGAAGTGGGTGAGCCTGGTGAAGACACTGGGGAGGATGGGCGGGTGGCAATCTGCGCTCCAGCTGGACAGCCCCACCAAATACCAGGTGTTATTTATCTTGCAGGCGAGAGGACCCCCAGAGTCTCCCTGAGGAAAGAGAGGGCATGAGTAGTCGGGATGGGGGGCTATCAGAGAGGGGGCATGCATTGTCTGCACTACAAAAAGACTCCCCTTGTCCCTCAGAGTGGAGCACAGGGGGGCATTGTCAAGGTGGTGCTACACATGAGCTATCACATTCGGGCAATTTGAACAGTCCAGACACAGGTCCCCTCTGCTGACCTCCTGGATCCAAATCTTAAGGGGGGTGTCCTTGGGCCCCTACATATAGCTCTGGGGGGGACTCTGAGCAGCCTCCCCAGGATGACATTCATGGGCCCACTCAACCATGTGGCAGAAAGCACCAGGGTAGGTGCCAGTGGGGCACCATTCTCTCAGGCCAGCTCTGTCTCCCATTCAAGTCTGTTTTTAACCTGGTCTCTAGTTCCTCCTCACTGTTGGATTTGCTGAGGGGAGAAGAGGTGATGCGGTGTCCACATTGATGAGCAACTAGAGTTTAGGGGCTCCCAGAGGATCCCCAGGGACTCTGTGTCACGCCCACAGGCAGAAAGACACCTGCCACCAAGGAACTTAACACTTCCATTCAGAACTTCCAAAATGGGGACCAAGGAATCACCATGAGTGAGCATTCCTGGGTGCAGGAAACATTGAGGTGACAAAAAGAGCCACAGGAGGTGCCCCAGAAGGTGAGTCCTGACTTTGGAGCAGGTAGGCAAATGCAGCCAGAGTCCCCAGCATGAGTGACGCCAAGGGGTGCCTGGGCAGTGTGTGTGTGGGGGGGGTCACTGAGGGACCCCTGGAAGAAAGTGACATGACCTGCTAGATTCTGACTGGCTAGGAGGGTGGTTCTGAGCATGATAGCCCCAGAGGCAGTGTTAAAGACAGGAAGGGGTGAGGACAGGGCTGCTACAGCTGACCCTCCTCTCCATCTAAGGTAAAATAGAGCCAGGAAAGAAAAGCAGAAAAACTTGGTGGGTCCTTGGTATATAGAAGTCAGGAAGAGGGGGAGACAGTGTAGGGCCTAGGGAGTCTGGTAGAAGACACCCAGGTGGTGCTACGAGTGCCCAGTGTGAGGAGGGCTGAGGCAGGGCCAGCAGTCCTGGAGGGGCCGAGGCCTGAGGGAATGCCGGGCACTAAGGCCTCATGGAGTGGGCAGGGTGACCAAGAAGAACCCAGAGGGGGCAACTGCAGGCACTTGGGGTGCCCCTATTGGGACAGGCAGGCTCAGCATCAGGGCAGAGGGTTTGGGCAGGAGAGAAGACATATGGAGTATGTGGAGGTGGGAGCAAGGCAGTGTGTTTCTGAGCATCCCAAGGAGGAAGCCAAAGGCGAAAGCCTGTGAGGATCACATTCCGGAGGAGGGCAGAGCTTCTCCAAGTGCAACTACCTAACTTTGGGCTCTCCACTTCCCTCTCTGGGCCCCAGTTTTTCCACCATAAGAGAGAAGGATTCCACACAGTGACAGAGGGATGTATAACACAAGGGCCCAGCAGCGTATTCAGATCCTCATAGATAATGACCAAAAACCTAACAGTTCACACTAAGGACAATACACACATGAAAAAAAATGGTATTTTCCTTATTTGCTGGAGAAGTGCATAGTAAACATCACAAGTCTTGGTTAAAATGAAAATGGTACCATAAAATACCTGGAAGCAAAGATGGGCGAAACACTACATGACATACACTTCAGTAACATCTTTGAAGATACAGCACCCAACAGCAACAATACAGCAGATACAGCAACAATACAGCAGATACAGCAACAAGAGTGAGGGGAAGGATAAATAGTTGGGACTACATCAAGTTAAAGAGCTTCTGTACAGCAAAAGACACATTACAAAAAACAAACAGACATCCCACTGATTGGGAAAACATTTTCTCACACAAAACTAGCAATAGGCCCTCCCTGGTGGTGCAGCGGGTTAAAGCACAGCACTAAGAAGCTTAAGCCATTTCCGAAAGAGTTGGATCCCCGCCTGCCCCGAAGGAGATCCACTTGTGAGGCAGGACCTCTCCTGAC